CAACCGACTGTGCCATCCAGGCACCACTTACTATGGGAGTTTTGAGCACAATTGAAATGTTGGCAGGAAAGGCTTGGTTGAAAAAACAAGTTAGGGCAGCCTGGGTGGCTCAGGGGTTTAACGCTGCCTTCAGCCCAGGGCCTGATCCTGGAGACCCTGGATAGTCCCATGTTGGGCTCCCAGCATGGAGCCTGCTCCTCCCTCTGCCTGTGTCTCTGCCTTTCTGTGTGTGTCTCTCATAAAAATAAAAAAAATAAATAAAAAAAGTTAAAGAAGGGACAATTTGTAATGGACACTGAAAGAAAAGGATCCAGAGAAAGCAGACATGTACTTCAACAGGAGGCATGGAGAGGATGGTGTGGGGTTAATAGATTTGGTTGAAGACTTGGGAATTAGGTGCCTTCAATTTTGTGACTAAGTTTTCTGTGAGGGACAATTTATTTATTTATTTATTTATTTATTTATTTATTCATTCATTCATTCATTCATTCATTCATTCATAGACACACAGAGAGAGAGAGAGAGAGGCAGAGACACAGGGAGAGGGAGAAGCAGGCTCCATGCAGGGAGCCCATGTGGGACTCGATCCCGGGTCTCCAGAATCACACCCCAGGCTGCAGGCGGCGCCAAACTGCTGCGCCACCAGGGCTGCCGGAGGGACAATTTTTAAATAGCCATGGTGAAGAGTGGAATTGCAATCCCATATTTTCCGTGTATGTTGTATAACCATGAAGAACTGATGCTCCTCTGAACAAGTGATGTTTAAGTCTACTAGTTAGTTATGGAATCAAATTTTGGGAGATCCTAATTCCTCAGTGAATCTTGCATCTTCCATTGAAAATCTTACCTGCTTCCTACTTGGTGAGCCTTTGATTCCAAGTAATCTTGGCTAAGACTTCCCTTTATGTTGTTTCCAGCTCTTAGATGAAACAAGAAGCTCTGTCCCTCATGAAGAAACAGGAATGCATCTTAGAACTAAGATAATGTACTTACCCATGTTTTTTGTAGAAGGCTGTAATGCCATCTGGTGATCATACAAAGAAGAAAGTCGAACTATCAGAGTATTTACTGAGGATCTGCTTAGTGGCTCATCAGTAAAAAGACACATTGGAAACCAATCTTGATACAAGATTTCAGTCATCAAATGCCTATTTCACAAAGGACACAGTACAAAGGGTGGGGATTCAATGACCAGTTACCTGGTCTTGAGGATTATGTATAGTCTGATGGTGAATCTGGTTTCAAGATGGGCCTGGCTCTGAGTAGAGATGAATTAAGAGCTCTATACTGGTTTGGGTTACTTGGGAGTAGGCGAAGTGTGCACCACGATGGTAAAGAATGAGGCTACAAAGCAAGAATTTCTGCTGAGACTCTGAAAGGTCAAGTGACAAGCTTGGTACAGCTATGTTATATAAGACTTTAAACACCAGGAGAGTCTGGATTTGAGCTGATAATGAAGACCTTTTACAGTTTTGCACAGGAGACATATTGAGGACATGTATTTTGATACCACAATCACTAAGCAGCTGATGCTTTCTAATTGTTACCATAATTTTAAGGGTAAAGTACCATTATTCCTGTTTTATGTAAGAGATTAAGAAGCTTGCAGGTGATGCAGCTAAATAGTGACAAGTCAGAATTTGAACCCAGTTCTCTATAAATCATCCAAACCCAGAGCTTTTCAGCATTACATGATACTGCTTTCACCAGAGCTGTAGCCTCAGAATCTCTTGACAACCCACCATCTACTTATTTTGACAGATTTAATGCCCTGAAACCAGGTCATTCTTGTACTTTAAGCTTTTTAAAAATAGACAACTGTTAACCAATGGCTCTTTTAGCAGTGGCATGGGGTAGGTGCAGACAAGAGGGAGTTTTGTTTTTTAAGATTTTTATTTATTTATTCATGAGAAACACACAGAGGCAGAGACACAGGCAGAGGCAGAAGCAGGCTCCCTCTGGGGAGACTGATATGGGACTCGATCCTGAGACTCTGGGATCATGCTCTGAGCTAAAGGGAGATGCTCAACCTCAAGCCCCACAAGGTGTCCCAAGAGGGAATTTAAGAAGGAATTTTTGAATAGGTAATAAATATAAGATTCAAAGAACACAATAGTTTTCCCCAACTTGTGTTCCCCTACATAAACTCATTTATCACTTTGTGTATATACATGTACATTCTAAACATGCCCACAAATTCTTTGCCACTCCTCATAGTCGAATCAATCTCCATTCTACCTGCATCTGGAAGGGCCCTATAAATGGCTGACCATCAGAATGCAGAAGTGACTTTTTTAGACCTTTAAAATATTTTCTCATCCACTTGGAACCCAGCTGCCATGTGAGAATCCCAAACACTATGAAGAAGCCACATCAAAAGAACCAAAGCACTTCAGTCTATAGATCCAGCCGAGTGAAGCCTCCAAATGGCTAGAGTTCCATGGGAGAACATTACCACCCAGCTGAGCCCTATCAACCTAAAGAATTTTTAATACTTGTTTGAACCACTAAGTTTTAAGGTGGTTTGTTATATAGTGGTATACTAAAAGATTTGCTTTTTAAATACTTTAAATCTAGAGTTGCATGCTCTACTAATAGAGCCAGCCAGGTGCCCCTTCATACAGAATTTTTAAAAAATCTAGTCACATCATTCATTACTTTTAAGTACTCATTTTGTTTTGTTTTGTTTTTTAACTTAGAATGCAAAGGTACTAACTACATGATTATATAAAGGAAAATCAGGCTTTCTTACTATACTTTTAAATTTTAATTTGGAGTCTATTTCTGGACTTCATTTTATCTGTTCTTTTCATGGAGTGAGCTATTCAGGTGCCAGTATCAACATTTTACTCCTTTTCTAACATTTTAACATCTGGCAGGTGTAGTTATCCTTTATGATTCTAATTTTTCACAATATTAAGGTTATTCTTATTTTTCTATATGAATGTTACAATCAACTTGTGTAGCAACAAAAATAATCCTGTTATTTTTTTTAAGATTTTATTTATTTATTAATGAGAGACACAAGGAGACAGAGAGAGAGGCAGAGACACAGGCAGAGGGAGAAGCAGGCTCCATGCAGGGAGCCAGACGTGGGACTGGATCCCAGGCCTACAGGATCACATCCTGGGCCGAAGGTGGCACTAAACCGCTGAGCCACCCGAGCTGCCCAATAATCCTGTTATTTTTATTGGAATTTTTATTAACTTCATTTCCTTTTTTGTTTTTTAATTTTTTTATTATTTATTTATGATAGTCATACAGAGAGAGAGAGAGAGAGGCAGAGACACAGGCAGAGGGAGAAGCAGGCTCCATGCACCGGGAGCCCGACGTGGGATTCGATCCCGGGTCTCCAGGATCGCGCCCTGGGCCAAAGGCAGGCGCCAAACCGCTGCGCCACCCAGGGATCCCTAACTTCATTTTCTTTAGGAGATTTATTTTTATGTGGATATTCCTTGGACATGGTATGATTTGCTATTTAAGGTCTCATTTGTGTCTGTCAGTACTTTAATGTTTTCTTCATTGTACATAACTTCTGTATGTGTGATTATTCCTATCTTTATTTTCCTTCCAACTTATCTTCAAACCTATCACTTGTTACTTCAATGAACCCCTTTCAGCTGACACCCATAGACATATTTCCAAGTAAACTTACCATGTATGAGTGATTTTTACTTCTCCCCCCGCTTTTTAATTTTTTGCTAATTATCTTTGATAGCAACTTTGAACAAAGCTCTTTTTTTAGTAGGATCACTTCTAGGGTTTCCTCATTAAGCATCACACAGCCTTTTGGAGTAAGACACTTTTAATAGGTTAGGAATGTTGACCCTTAGCAATTTTAGGAAATGCTGTTTTAGCATATAGGGAGAGGATTCTTGATATATTGTTGAAATAATCTCAGAATGACTTTTCTTGTGTTGTACCATTATGTAAGTTTGTTTATAATATGTATCTATAAAGTCTTTATGCCCCTACTTTAGCAGGTGTAGTACTAAAAAATAAAATGGGAACTCTATCCTTTAAAAAAGAATCTTAGCTGAGTGTCCGACTGTTGATTTCAGCTCAGGTCATGATCTCAGGGTCGTGAGACTGAGCCCAGTATTGGGCTTCACACTGGGCTTGGAGCCTGCTTAAGATACTTTCTCCCTCTCCTCCTGCATTCTTTTTCTAAAAGAAACTAAACAAGGGCAGCCCAGGTGGCTCAACGGTTTAGTGCTGCCTTCAGCCCAGGGCGTGATCCTGGAGACCCAAGCCCCACGTTGGGCTCCCTGCATGGAGCCTGCTTCCCCCTCTACCTGTGTCTCTGCCTCTCTCTGTGTGTCTCTCATGAATAAATAAAATCTTAAAAAAAAAAAAGAAAGAAAGAAAGAAACAAGACAAAAAAGTATATCTGATCAATTTTTTAATGTCTTGAAATTCTTATTCTGAACCTCACTGAACTCATAGTTTAGTAGGGCTAGCACTAAATAATTTTTTTTAATTTTTTTTTTAATTTATTTATGATAGTCACAGAGAGAGAGAGGCAGAGACACAGGCAGAGGGAGAAGCAGGCTCCATGCACCGGAAGCCCGATGTGGGATTCGATCCCAGGTCTCCAGGATCGCGCCCTGGGCCAAAGGCAGGCGCCAAACCGCTGCGCCACCCAGGGATCCCTAGCACTAAATAATTTTAATAAAATATGACACACATTATTTATCATAGGGCAAGCCTGAGTGTGGAAATGTGTGACCCACTGAGGCCTTCCTTAAAAAAATCTAAGAAATCCATAGGTGATATGATAGGAAGAATGAAGTAGATGGGTGCTAAAGGCAAAGCTCACAGGTTTGTCTGTACATATTCTTTGTATGTTAAGAGCAAAAAGAAGCCTCCTCAAGCTTCAGCAACAGTGGCCAAGATGCTGATAGCCTGAATGAAGGTATTTGGCATTTGGAATAGTTTTAAGAAACTACAGAAAAACATAATTTCAGTAATCCCTGAAAGATGTTAATCCTTAGTCTAAATGAGTTTGATGATTGAAGAAAGCAAGCAATTATTTATTAGAATTAGTTGGAAAGACTTGGGGGCACCATACTTAAAAGTTCCAAGTCAAAAAAAAAAAAAAAAAAAAAGTTCCAAGTCAAACTCTAGCTTTGGAGCCAGATTAACTGAACACAACAGTAGTTCCTGGGCCCACTGTGTGACCTTGGACAAGTAACAGCAGTATCTCTTAGGCCTGTTGAGAAGATTAAGATATGTAGAATGAGTTTACCAATTCTGGCACATGATCAACATGCAGTGAATGTTGTCAATGTTGTAGAACGCCACATGTCCTGCAGTATACTTACAGGAATATCCTAAAATGACAAAACCATAGATTCAAAGGTTATTTATTTTTATAAAGCCCCAGAGTAAACATGCTAAAATTATCCATTTAAGTCTGGTTATAACCTAAGTTTTAATCTGGCACCTACTTGTCAGCACAATGACCACCAGTTAAGAGGTTTTTCCAGTTATAATTTACACACAAAGCTGTTTCACAAACTTTAACTATAAAGACATAGGTTACCAAAAAAAGTAACAAAAGGCCACATGTATATTTTAGTTAACCCATGTCTTAAATTGATACAACAAATCTTCTACAAATCCATTATTTTCATTCAATACTTACTGAAGCTAAACTTAATTTTTAAAAAAATTTTTTTAAGATTGTATTTATTTATTCATAAAGACAGAGAGAGAGACAGGGAGGGAGAGAGGGAGAGAGAGGCAGAGACACCGGCAGAGGGAGAAGCAGGCTTCATGCAGGGAGCCTGACGTGGGACTCGATCCTGGGTCTCCGGGATCACACCCTGGACTGAAGGGAGCACTAAACTGCTGAGCCACCCAGGCTGCCCTTAAACTTAATTTTAAATAGCTGTGCACTAGGTTACATCTTTAGAGTCCAACAGCAAATGGAAATCAGACACCTTTGTTTTCATGATTTTGTTTCAAACTGTTAAAGAACAAAACCAGCACTGTTGATACCCTCAATTACTGAGGTAATCTTGAAAAGCCATATGCCAATGGCATTACTCTATTTTGGATACATTTTGACACAAAGGTTAATATTTATCAGCTGAAGGTCTTTAGTCAGCTGTCCATAGAAGTCAGACAGCTTGGCTGTATGGGAAATAAGTAAACATTGAGAAGCTGGTAATAAGTAAACCTTGAGAAGGGAAGGTAGCTTCTCTGCAGAAGGGCTGCCTGAGCTAAGATCTCAAAGTAAAGTAGACAAAGTAGAGAAGGAAGATGAAACCAGAAAGGGAAATAGCATGTGCCTAATAACAAAAGGCTTACTTAAGACTGAAAGAGGGGCACCTGGGTAGCTCAGTGGTTGAGTATCTGCCTTTGACTCAGGTCATGATCCCAAGGTCCTGAGATCGATTCCCACATCAGGTTCCCCATAAGGAGTGTGCTCCTCCCTCTGCCTGTGTCTCTGCCTCTCTGTCTCTCATGAATAAATAAATTTAAAAAAAAAAATCCCTGAAAGAAACCAGTGTGGCCAGAAGGGAATCTGAGGGTGTTAAAGATGAGCGGGGTAAGCGTTAGACTGTGTAAGGCCTGACAGGCCATATTACGGCAAGCAGGGACTATGTCTTATCCACCACTCATCCCCAATGTCTAGCAGAGTTCAGCTAATAAAGGCTGTAAACCCACAAAAAGGAGGAGTCAAATGACAATCTTCTGATAAGATGTGTAATTAGCCCAGATCATTGTCTTCCTGTAACTCAGCCATGGAGATTATACATACAAGAAGTAAAATTAGAGATCTGAGAAACTGGGGATCCCTGGGTGGCTCAGCAGTTTAGTGCCTGCCTTCGACCCAGGGTGTGATCCTGGAGACCTGAGATCGAGTCCCATGTCAGGCTCCCTGCAAGGAGCCTGCTTCTCTCACTGCCTGTGTCTCTGCCTCTTTCTGTTTCTCATGAATAAATAAAATCTTTAAAAAAAAGAGAGATCTGAGAAATTAAATATGAAGAGTCCTTTGGAAGAACGGATCATGATTGAGTCCTAGCATATATAGAGGGGCAAGAAATTGAAGCCTAGTGTAGAAAAAGGCAGAGTGCCATGAGAGTAGGGGTAGTAGAGGCTGGGACAGAGCTTTTCTGTTCTGCCTTCCCCCACTACTCATCGCTTCATATACAACCTTTCACTGGCAGCATGGCCAGCATATTGCAACCTTAGCTCCTGGAGTTCTCATTATATTAATATAAATATTAAAAATGGAATGTCTATAAAATATAGGGGACTATAAACTAAGGATCCTGGTTATATAGTTCATTGTTCTACCAGTGGACAGGGCCTAGAAGCAACACCAGCTTAGTATCAAGAGTCTATCTAGTGCCCAGGTCTTTGTTCCTTAATGCCATTCACCAGTAAAGAAACGAGGGCTCGCTAGAAAAATGTTTGACAACTGGGACAGAAAAGATACAAGATGAGCATGGATCATCTTAATAGAGCCTTAAATTGAGAAGTGCTTAAAAACAAAAACCCCACAATGATGGGGGCATATTGAAGAGATACAGTAGGGGATGCCTGGGTGGCTCAGGGGCTGAGCGTCTGCCTTTGGCTCAGGTCATGATCCTGGGGTCCCAGGATCAAGTTCCACATTGGGCTCCCCTTGAGCCTGCTTCTCCCTCTGCCTATGTCTCTGCCTCTCTGTCTCTCATGAATAAATAAATAAAAATTTAAAAAAAGGAGAGATACTCTCTGGTCCCGGCGGTAAGATGGCAGCTGCCGCGGAGTGCGATGTGGTAATGGCGGCGACCAAGCCAGAGCTGCTTGACGAGGAACCGAAGAGGGAAGCAGTCTTTCAAGGAACAAGGAAATGCATACTATGCCAAGAAAGATTACAATGAAGCTTATAATTATTATACAAAAGCCATAGATATGTGTCCTAAAAATGCTAGCTACTATGGGAATCGAGCAGCCACTTTGATGATGCTCGGAAAATTCCGGGAAGCTCTTGGAGATGCACAGCAGTCAGGTCGGATGACAGTTTTGTCCGGGGACATCTACGAGAGGGCAAATGCCACCTATCTCTAGGGAATGCCATGGCAGCATGTCATAGTTTCCAGAGAGCCCTAGAACTGGATCACAAAAATGCTCAGGCGCAACAGTTCAAGAATGCTAATACAGTCATAGAATATGAGAAAATAGCAGAAACAGATTTCGAGAAGCGAGATTTTCGGAAGGTGGTTTTCTGCATGGACCGTGCCCTAGAATTTGCCCCTGCCTGCCATCGCTTCAAAATCCTCAAAGCAAAATGTTTAGCAATGCTAGGTCGTTATCCGGAAGCACAGTCTGTGGCCAGTGACATTTTACAAATGGATTCTACCAATGCGGATGCTCTGTATGTACGAGGTCTTTGCCTTTATTATGAAGATTGTATTGAGAAGGCGGTTCAGTTTTTTGTACAGGCTCTCAGAATGGCTCCTGACCATGAGAAGGCCTGCATTGCTTGCAGAAATGCTAAAGCACTTAAAGCAAAGAAAGAAGATGGGAATAAAGCATTTAAAGAAGGAAATTACAAGCTGGCCTATGAACTGTACACAGAAGCCCTGGGGATAGACTCTAACAATATAAAAACAAATGCTAAACTCTACTGTAATCGGGGCACGGTTAACTCCAAGCTTAGGAAACTAGATGATGCAATAGAAGACTGCACGAATGCAGTGAAGCTCGACGCCACTTATATAAAAGCCTACTTGAGAAGAGCTCAGTGTTACATGGACACAGAACAGTATGAAGAAGCAGTGCGGGACTATGAAAAAGTATATCAGATGGAGAAAACAAAAGAACACAAACAGCTCCTAAAAAATGCACAGCTGGAACTGAAGAAGAATAAGAGGAAAGATTACTACAAAATCCTGGGAGTGGACAAGAATGCCTCTGAGGATGAAATCAAGAAAGCTTACCGAAAACGGGCCTTGATGCACCATCCAGATCGGCACAGTGGAGCCAGTGCCCAAGTTCAGAAGGAAGAGGAGAAATAGTTCAAGGAAGTTGGAGAAGCTTTTACCATCCTCTCTGATCCCAAGAAAAAGACTCGCTATGACAGTGGACAGGACCTAGATGAGGAAGGCATGAATATGGGCGATTTTGACGCAAACAATATCTTCAAGGCATTCTTTGGTGGTCGTGGGGGCTTCAGCTTTGAAGCGTCTGGTCCAGGGAATTTCTTTTTTCAATTTGGCTAATGAAAGGAAACCATCCGAAACCCAGAAAGTGCAGACTTGCTCAATGTAACCTTGAACGTGGGCACAGCTCACTTCCTCCCTTCATCTCGTCTCCCCGTCCTTAGAGCAGTTGCGTTTTCTTAGTTGGATACCCTAGTTGGATACCCGTGTCTGTGAGTGGGGGGGAAGGAAGGGAGCTAGCCCTGAAGACTGCGGGGAGGGGAGAGGGGTGGGGGGTGGACAGGGAGGCAGCTTGTGAATTTTTGTTTTACTGTTTAACTTTATTAAAAAAGAAAAAGGGGGGATCCCTGGGTGGCGCAGCGGTTTGGCGCCTGCCTTTGGCCCAGGGCACGATCCTGGAGACCCGGGATCGAATCCCACGTCGGGCTTCCGGTGCATGGAGCCTGCTTCTCCCTCTGCCTGTGTCTCTGCCTCTCTCTCTCTCTCTCTCTCTGTGACTATCATAAAAAAAAAAAAAAGAATAAAAATAAAAATAAAAAAGGAGAGATATAGTAGCCAACCAATGAGCTCCTAAAGGCCAAAGCTGGAACACTGAATAAAGTATTATTGGACTGTTATCCCCAAAATATAACAAATATCCATGGATTCATAATGGTATAAATACATTGAATGAGAAGAAATCAATTTATTTTTTTTTAAGATTTTATTTATTCATTCTTGAGAGACACACAGAGAGAGAGAGGCAGAGACACAGGCAGAGGGAGAAGCAGGCTCCATGCAGGGAGCCTGACGCGGGACTCGATCCCAGGACTCCAGGATCACGCCCTGGGCCCAAGGCAGGGGCTAAACCGCTGAGCCACCCAGGGATCCCGAGATCAATTTATTTCTTAAGGGCAGCCCCGGTAGCTCAGTGGTTTAGCACGCTGCCTTCAGCCCAGGGCATGATCCTGGAAACCTGGGATTGAGTCTCAGGTCAGGCTCCCTGCATGGAGCCTGCTTCTTCCTCTCCCTCTGCCTGTGTCTGTGCCACCCTCTCTGTGTGTCTCTCATGAATAAGTATGTAACATTTAAAAAAAAAATTATTTCTTAAGAATACCAAGTAACTTATGTAGATATTCCACCCTCAAAGAAAGCACCATTCTCATCTTTTTAAGTATGTGTTGCACATAGTCACTTCATTCCAAAGCACACAGAATTGGGCCAGGGGGAGTAACTTTACAGTGGAGAAATTTGGCAAGACAAACCTCAGCCAGGTGATCAAGGTTAACAGCAACACTAAGTCAGGCTGATAGGATGAGAATGGTCTATGGTCTTCCTCTCAAAATCACTTAAACTCAGCTTAATCATGAGAAAAACTCAATCCTAACAGGGACTTTCTACAAAATACCTGTTCTCAAATTCTAGGCCATCAATAAATAACAAGGAAGTCTAAGAAGCTGTCATAGCTAAAAGGAACCTAAGAAGGGGCTCTTGGCCAGCTTAGCTGGTAAAGAATGCAACACTTGATCTCAGGGTTGTAAGGTGGAGCCCATGCTAGGTGCAGGTCACTAAGAATAAAATCTCAAAAGAATAAAAAATTTAAAAAAATTTTTTTAAAGAATAAAATCTTAAATAAATAAATAAATAGAATTTTAAAAAGGAGCCTAAGGAGATATAATAACTGAATGTAATATCTTCAATGAGATCCTGGAACAGACAAAGGACATTAAGTAAAAACCAAGGAAATCTGAATAAAGTCCAGCCTTTTTTTTTTTTTTAAATTGTGTTTATTTGGGCAGCTCTGGTGGCACAGCGGTTTAACGCCGCCTGCAGCCCAGGGCGTGATCCTGGAGACCCGGGATCAAGTCCCACGTCGGGCTCCCTGCATGGAGCCTGCTTCTCCCTCTGCCTGTGTCTCTGCCTCTCTCTCTCTCTCTGTGGGTCTCTATAAATAAACAAATAAAAAATCTTTAAAAAAATAAAAAATAAATTGTGTTTATTTGAAAGAGCGAAAGAGAGCCCAAAAGAGGGTCAGGGTGGGGGTGCAGAAGCAGACTCTGCTAAGGAGGGAATAGGACACAGGGCTGAATCCCAGGACCCAAGGATCACGAGGGATCAAGAACGGACACTTTCTTAACTGACTGAGCCATACAGGTGTCCCCAGAATTTAGAAAAGTCTTGAATGCCAACCTAAGAGTCTGATCAGTTCAGCAAAGAGATAGCAGTAATTTTCTCACATGAACAGGAGTACTGGGCAGCCCGGGTGGCTCAGCAGTTCAGCGCTGCCTTTGGCCCAGGGCGTGATTCTGGAGACTCTGGATCAAGTCCCACATCGAGCTCCCCTGTATGGAGCCTGCTTCTCCCTCTGCCTGTGTCTCTGCCTCTTTTTCTTTCTCCTGTGTATTCTCATGAATAAATAAGTAAAATCTTAAAAAAAAAAAAAAACATGAGTACTGCTTAGGTGTTAAAGACTGAAAGGTAGAGGCAAAGATAGGAAAACGTTCAACTAACTGGCAAACACTAGTTGAGCAACCATAATGTTCCCAAATCTCAGATTAAAAAACTGCAGGTGGTGAGGGTAAAGGACAAAAAGGGTGGATGTTTAAAGGACTAATCCACCCAGCACCCTATACAGACTTTAGTTAATAACGTATCCATATTAGCCCATTAATTGTGACAAATGTACTACCCTAATGTAAAATGGTATTAGAGGAAACGGTGTAGGGTACATGGGCCTTCTTTGTACTGTCTTTGCAACTTTTCTGTAATTATACAACTATTCTAAAATAAAATAAATTTCAAGGTCCATTTTATCAGCCTTTTCTGAGACCCAGCAAGCTGGCTTATTATTTCTAAATAGCAGTAAAGAAAAAGAATTGCTAAGCAGACATTCTAAGCATTAGAGTTGATTTGTTAATTTAGTGAAATTGTTTTCCAAGAGAATATTGACAGGTCCATTAACTGGAGCTGTTCATAAAAAGCCCTAATTAAGCAACAAGATTCAAGGAGCCATTGTCACTCTTTTAAGTACTTAATTAGTTGCTCTTACAAGATTGTTTTCTTTTGTGTGAATTCCCAGGCAGGGATCCACCTTTTTGTGTTCCTTTGGGGCCTGCACAATTTTTTTCCTGGGGCTTTATTTTCCTGATTACAATTTGAGACCTGATCCACAATTTTAATGCAAAAGTCCACTGACAGGTTTCAACAATGAAGGAAGTAAATTATTGATAGGCACCAGGGATGGTCTCCTTAATACTTGTATCTCCCTTACCCACCCTGCTTTAGTTTTTCCTCTTAGTATGGTATAGGACTGAGGCTTGAAACTTGAGCAGAGAAATGAAAAGGGTCACTGCCTCTACCAATTGCTACCTGAGACAGGAGGTGGCAGCTTGGGGTTAAATAGTTACTTTGAAATGTTTTACTTCATCTTCTTTGGTTCCTCACCAGGTAATTAAAAAAAAAAAAAAATCAAGTCAACTGGGAGTAGTAGGTGACTAATTAACTTCATTTATCAACTAGGAAATCCCATTAGATTATTTTAATGGGCATGATTAAGCCACTGGGGTTAATCTCCTGGGGTTATCAAATACATGCACAGAAGTCAACGAAGTATCATTCTTCAAATAGCAAAGAGGCCCCTCCCTGCACCTGGGTAGCCTTAAAGGTGAGGAATGCCTCTGTATGCTCACAGGAGCTTACCGTCCCAGATTTTTTTTTTTTTTTTTAAGATTTTATTTATTTATCTCACACAGAGAGAGAGGCACAGACACAGGCAGAGGGAGAAACAGACTCCATGCAGGGAGCCTGACAAGGGACTTGATCCCAGGTCTCCGGGATCACACCCTGGGCCACGCTAAAACCGCTACGCTAAACCGCTGAGCCACCCGGGCAGCCCTCATCCCAGATTTTAAACCCCGACTTCATGACAAAGTTTTTCTCCTTCCTTAGGGACCATTTTTATTGCACTACCTAGGACTGAAAGTTATGATCAGGCTCTGCTGGAAATGAAGATTGCTATTCTTTCTTAGGACCTCTCCTTCCAGTAAACATCAAAAATAAAGAGAACCATTATGACAGAAGTAAGCTGTGCAAAAAGTGTACACAACAAACTCCAAACACAAGAAATGAGGACTATTCTAGTACTGGATAATTTACTAAAGTCATCTTAGTCCTCTAAAAGAGGTAGAGTTTAAGGCTATATGGTAAAGGCTTGCTATAAGGCAAAAGTACTGATAACATGGAACTTTTCTGAGACATGTTGGTACTGGCCCTGAACATGTCACTAATGAGCTGTCAATTCTCAAGGCCTAAATTTCATTTTCTACAACAGTGGCTTGCAAAAACTTTAGCTCACAGGCCAGTTTTGGCATGCCAATTGGTTTTTGAAAAGCCGTCAAGCTTAGAATGATTTTTTAGAATCATTTTTTAGATTTTTTAGAATTTTTTTTAGTTATAATATTGAAAACTTTACAAAATTCTAATTTTGGTGTCTATTAATAAAGTTTTATCTGAAAATCTGTTGACACACTGTCTATGTCTATGGCTGCTCCATACTGCAAGTGCAGAATTGAGTAGTTACAAGAGAGACTATGGTACACAAGCCTAAAATATTATCTGGCCTTTTACATTTACAGCAAGTTTGCCTACCCTTGCTCTAGAACAGCAGTGTATAATAAAACTTTCCACATCGGTGGAAATGTTTTCTGAGCTGTCCAATATGGTAGTCACTAAATACTGAGATCTGGAAAACCAGATTTAATTTTTGTCAGATGAAATATCTTCATGAATTGTATAGCACAGCTCTAGAACATGAGATCCTAGTTTAAGCCTTGGACTTTAGATCAAGTATCCTCTAATATTCTCATACTCTCCATAATGTTTTAGAACTCTGAAGTTTTTCCACCTGTAAAGAAAACTTCACTTTTTAAAAAACTTTCCTTTCTTTTAAAGTAAGCTTTATTCCCAACATGGGGCTTGAACTCAGGACCCTGAGATCAAGAGTTGCATGCTCTACTACTGAATGGCCAGCTAGGCGCCCCAAGAAAACCTCACTTTCTATTTCTTTTAAAGATATTATTTATTTATTAATGAGAGACAGAGAGAGAGAGAAAGAGAAAGAGAGAGAGACAGAGAAAGAGAGAGGCAGAGACACAGCCAGAGGGAGAAGCAGGCTCCATGCAGGGAGCCCAACATGGGACTCCATCCTGGAGATCCAGGATGACGCCCTGGGCTGAAGGTGGTGCTAAACCGCTGAGCCACCTGGGTTGCTCCTCTATTTTTCTTTACTCTCACACTATGGCCACACTCTCAACATTTATGACACCAGATGTAGGTTTTCCCCCCACACCAAGCAAATCTGTGCCACCAGCTGGGTGTCCACAGTTCTGACACTCTGTATACCTAAAGTATCATCAGAGCCACAGGTTAAGGGCACAGTCCAACAAGACTGCTTCTCCCTCACTTCAGATGCCAATCACAAGTCCAGGTTGTTACCTGTGCTTCTGACCAGTATCAGATACAAATCCTACTACAAATCCTACCTGTGGGTTCCCACAAACCCGTACTCGTTGCTATAGTAGTCTCAGAACTCAGAAAAACTTTCCTTACTGTTTACCAGTTTATTTAAAGGACATGATAAAGGATATAGAGAAACATCCAGAGGGGAAATGCACAGGACAAGTCTAGGTAAAAAGTGGCATCGAGCTTCCATGCCATCTCTGGGTGCATTACTCTCCCACACAGTGCCTCCATGTGTTCACCAACCTAAAAGTTCTCTAAACCCCACACTATTGGGATTTTTACGGAGGCTTTATCATGTGGGAATGATCAATTATTAACTCCATTTCCAGCCCCTTTCCCCTTTTGAAGAATAGTGGTGGGGCTGAAAATTCCAAGCTTCTAATCACTGCGTGGCCTTTCTGGTGACCAACCTCATTAGAACAAGACATGCTTATCACCCAGGAATCAGAGTTAAAGACCAACTAGCAGAACAAAGATGCTCCTAATGTACTTACTGCTTAGGGAATCTTAAGAGTTTTAGGAACTTTGTGCCAAGAATGGGAGCAGAGGCCAATATATAATTTTCTATTACTTCACACCACCCATCTGAGCTGAAACAAGTTAATTAGAACCTACATGACAAAAGGATTATATACATTACCTATCCCAGTGTCACATAGCGCTGTCAGAGACATCTGAGGTCTGAATGGAGGCAGATTTCTCCCTCAGGTAAAGGCATCTAGGATTCAAAGAGGAAAGGAATGACAAAGAAGGATCCTAAGGGTCCTCAGACAGGGTCCTTTTCTCAAAGGAAAAAAGAAAAAAAACTGTTTGCACCCAGACTAGGACCAACTCCACAGGAGGAGTTCTTCCACTCTCAGAGGTGCAAAACGCTGCCCAAGAGTACTTAGCCACAACACCAAAACAGTGCTCGAAGCCAGACCTCAATAAAGGCAGTGTTTGCTCTTCCAACAGTGTAACACCATCCAAGGCAACATACTAGCCTGGATAGCTGACAACCGCTGGGTGATTCCTGGAACAGCTTTGTTTCAGATACACAGGCACCCCAAGTAGAAGATATGAATACACATTATCCCCATGAATTCAACATGGGATGCCAACCAGAAGCCTGGAAGCACTGATGGCAGACTTTGGTGCCAAACTATTTGAACAAATAGGAAACAAGAACCTCTTTCCCATCCCTTTGGTCCAACATTCAGGGAATTCCTATTATATGTGCCAGGCACTAGGATTGAGATTTAGCAGTGACCACACAAGATACATCATCCTTTCTATCCTGGACTTTTATAATCTTGTTCTGAATTCCTCAGATGAGGGCAGCCTGGGTGGCTCAGGGGTTTAGCACCGCCTTCAGCCCAGGGCATGATCTTGGGGTCCCAGGATTGAGTCCTGCATCAGGCTCCCTGTGTGGAGCCTGCTTGTCCCTCTGCCTGTGTCTCTGCCTCCCTCTGCCTCTCATGAATAAAATAAAATCTTAAAAAAAAAAAAATTCCTCAGATGGAATGATACAGATAATCTCAAAGATCCTACAGGCCTTAGACCATAGCTACCAAAATCACACTTAGCTTTTCACTGCTCAGAGGCCAAATTTGTTGGGGGGCAGATATAAGGTGATTGTGCCACCCAATGGTTTCCTGATGGATACCAACAAGCAAACAGGCCTGCCACACAGGAAGCAGTCCCTGTTGGATGAAAAGGGACATTACCTGAGAATGCCATACAGACTGTTCACCAACCACTAATTTTCTCTCTTCAGGAGGGCCAAACATGCCCTACTTTCAAGTCATCCTAAAAAAGAAAAAGATTTCACTGTTCAACACCCTAGACTAAAACAGTTCCTAAAGCTGCTTTTCTGTAGAAATGCAAACAATATTGTCGGCCATTTATGATTTATCCCATTTTCAATGTCCTCCAAATTTTATTTCCCATTGTCTTTTTCTTGCCTATAATTACCACTAAAGCTAACCATGCCCCCAAACCGTCTAGTTATCACTAGTTTTAAGACCCCATCTGTAAAAGGTTATTCACAATGAACATCTGAGGTATTTACACCAAGCACTCAACATTTAGCTAAGTGAATCCTTTTTAGGGAAAGTCAATTGACAGAACAAAGCTAGCTTTTATAAATAACTCCCTTGCCTCCCAACATCCTCACCGGTTCCTCCTATGGAAACCAGGATGTCACTTTTCACAGAAGCACCAACTAAGTCAGCCTTATGGGGACAAGTGTTTGCCTAGAACTGAGAAGCATCTCTTCTCAGAAAATTAGCAATCCAAAGCAAAATCACTACAAAGAGACCCAGTATTTACTGCTCCAAAGGGGCAACAACTCTGTTCACTTCTGAAAATCAGTAAGAAACCAAGACAAATATACTGTCAGCCTAAAGCAGAAATTAGTATGGTTGTAGATAGTCTATCAATTGGGATTTTCATATTTTGTTAAAGAGCTAAAGAATGCCTATAATTTTAAAGCAAATTCGTACCATTTCCCTAATAAGGCATTCCTGTAGGTAACTGCAGCTATGAAACCCCATAGGAGGGAGAAGCATGACTAGCTTCTGTGGTGCAGGAGTAAGGCCCAGGTATTTGGATTTCAGTGAAAACTGCAAAAAATCTCATGGGTCTTTTTTCACTGTACAAACCCCCTTTGGAGCACTTGGTAGTCACTCTAAAAACAAAAAGGTGACTTTCTTCCTCTACTTCTGCATTCCTCCAAGGATTCATTACCTTTCTTTTGTTTCCAAGGTAGGATTAAAGTAACTTCATACTAGTCAAACCTGTTGAGCCAGAAACACTTAAAAAGCTTTGGATTTTTAGGTTTCTCCCCATAACATTATGCCCTTACCGATTTAACCTTAATAGATAAACGATTATGCTGGCATCCTGGTATAGTTAACAACAGAGGTGGCATGAACCAGGCCCAGAATGCCAACCAGCTATCCGCTGCTGTTCTCCCAGCAGTGTAACACGTGCCTAGGTACACAGCAACCTAGGCAGCTGCCTACAGCTGGGGCCAAAGGCAGGCTAATCAAATTGCACTCACCTGGGGCTGCATCTCTCCAAAGCCCTCGGCTGTTCCCTCTGTAATCAAAGCACTTCTGGTTAGAGTCGGCCAACAGTAGTGAACACATATGTGAACTTCAAGACCTCTACCCACAAAACCCCAGAACTTATTTCTGAGTCACAGAAATAGACAATAAAAAATAGACAATAAAACAAAGCTTTTCCTTGGTTAGATTTATTTTCTCATGTTATTTGTTACCTATGTACAGCAACTCAACAGGAGCAATCCTTTAAAAAACATTTTACTGGGCAGCCCGGGTGGCTCAGCGGTTTAGCGCCGCCTTCAGTCCAGGGCGTGATCCCCGAGTCCCAGGATTGAGTTCCGCATTGGGCTCCCTGCGTGGAGCCTGCTTCTCCCTCTGCCTGTGTCTCTACCTGTCTCTCTCTGTCATAAATAAATAAATAAATAAATAAATAAATAAATAAATAAATAAATAAATAAATAAATAATCTTTTAAAAAAAAAATAAAAAACATTTTACTTTTAAGTAATTTACACCCGACATGGGGCTCGCACTTATGAACCATGAGATCAAGAGTTGCATGCTCTTGTGACTGAGCCAGCCAGGCACCCCTCAACAACAGTAAACTAATGGTCTAGTTAACAGGTAGAAGGAAGTGTGGCTCTATCCCTCAACAGCTAAGTTACAATGAACACATGACTTAACCTCTCTGTACCTCTCAGTATAATTTGTAAAGTAGGAATGTGGGACACCTGGGTGGCTCAGCGGTTTGGTGCCTGCCTTTGGCCCAGGGCTTGATCCTGGAGTCCTGGGATAGAGTCCCACAACGGGCTCCCTGCATGGAGCCTGCTCTCCCTCTGCCTGTGTCTCTGCCTCTCTCTTTCCATCTCTCACGAATAAATAAAAAATCTTAAAATAAAATAGGAATGTTATTAATAGCTCTCTGTACACAAGGTGGCTGTTAGATCTAAAAAGAATACAAATTAAGCCCAAGAGTATCTGGCATAAAGTATGTGGTCAGTAAAAAAAAAAAAAAAAAAAAAAGTATGTGGTCAGTAAACACCACTTGTTATTAAGAGCTACATTCCAGCCAAGGAGACGAATAGGGGAGAGTAGGGAGGAAAAAGTTACCAGTGGGCAGTGAATATAGAAAGTATAGTTAAGGGCAGCCCCGGTGGCACAGCGGTTTAGCGCCGCCTGCAGGCCAGGGTGTGATCCTGGAGACCTGGGATTGAGTTCCACCTCGGACTTCCTGCGTGGAGCCTGCTTCTCCCTCTGCCTGTGTCTCTGCCTCTCTCTGTCGTTCATGAATAAATAAATAAAAATCTTAAAAAAAAAAAGTCAAAAAAACTAGATTGGAGAGGACGTCAATTATGAGACTTTTTGAGGTACAATAAAAGCAGTATTGGGGGATCCCTGCGTGGCGCAGCGGTTTGGCACCTGCCTTTGGCCCAGGGCGATCCTAGAGACCCAGGATCGAGTCCCGCGTCGGGCTCCCGGCATGGAGCCTGCTTCTCCCTCCTCCTGTGTCTCTGCCTCTCTCTATCATAAATAAATACATAAATCTTAAAAAAAAAAAAAAGGCAGTACTTTAGAAAAAACAACAGGATGTGATAATGGGTATGAAAGCAACTGGAGACAGGCTGCCATTCCTGCCAATGTCCTTAACTATTGGTTGAAAGCAGTAACCAAAATGTTGGCATGAATGTTAACGAATATTCCTATCCATTTACCATTATAATTTACCTTATTTATTTATCTAGGGTGTCCAAAACTGTATCTTTTTCCAGCCATCCTCTAATTTCACTTTTTTTAAAAAACAGATTTTATTTATTTACTTATTCATGAGACACAGAGAGGCAGAGACACAGGCAGAGGGAGAAGCAGGCTCCATGCAGGGAGCCCGATGCGGACCTCACCCGCTGAGCCACCCAGGTGTCCCTCTAATTTCACTCTTAACCAGCTCCAAACAATGGAGAGAAAAAGCAAAATAGAGGGGACTCATTGTTCAGATCCAAAAACGAACCTTAAAAGTGCCTGCCCCTTTCAGGAGCTTGGGTTTAAGGACCTGCCGGAGCTCTGCCCCGACACGTGTTCGTCACAAATCTTCCCCAGCCCCCGGGCCCTGGCGCCAGACGCCTGGGAAGTGAGGCTCGCGGAGACCAGACCTAGGTGAGTCTCAGGGACAAGAGGGAAAGGAGCAAAACAGGGGGCGACTCTAGAGCCACGACCTCCCGGCGACTCTTCAAGATGCCCTCCAGACCCGGGGTCATGATGGAACGAACCCATTTTGTCCCGTGCCTCGGAAGAAGCCCCCCCACAAGCTGCGGCTCGCCCCGAGCCAGCAGACCTCCGAGGCTCCCCCCGACCTGGCCCCTACTCACCCGCACGTGTCTGGAGCGCGGCCGCGGCCCTCCGGCCGGGGCACAGGCCGCAGCGGAAAGGCCCGCCGGCCGCCGAGCGAAGCCCCGCCCCGGGGCGGGGACCGAGGGGCCGGGGGCGGGCCCGGAAGCCCCGCCCAGGAAGGTCGGGGTCGGAGAGGTGCGGGAGCCGCGGCGGCCGGGGAGCCGGAGCCTCCGGACTCGGGGGGTGGGGATCTGAACGAGGGCTACGTTTCTTTGGCTCCCCTGCCGCTGGTTACTCACGGGTCGAAGGGGGCGTTGGTGTGGAGGTGCTGAGGCCGAAGCCCGGTGTGTCCCGGCGGGGGGGCGCGCCTCCCGCCTGCCCCAGCAGCCGCCCGCCAGGCGCGCGTTGCCCTGCGCGGTGGCCTCTGGGTTCCAGCCGGCGCAGCCCACCCTTTTTCCACCTCCCACTGACGTCTCTCAGGCTTTCTCCCGTAGAGTCGTTCCTCGGCTGATGACTTGCCGACCCACACAGATCACCTGAGTTTTCAGGTTCTCGCCTGAAGACTGGGGGGAGGGGTTATGCCTGGCACTCCTACAGCCTAACCCTGCGGGGCCGCATCCCTGGTGCCCTGCAGTGGGATCCTTAGCGGAGCTGCAGTCGCTAAAGAATACCGGTTTTCTCTGCCAGAATTGCCTTGTACTGTGGCACAATCAGCCAGAGAGGCCACATCTCAGACAGATTGCCCACCAGGTTATCAGCTTTTTTTTAAAGATTTTATTTATTTATTTATTCATGAGAGACACACAGAGAGAGACAGAGACACACAGAGGGAGAAGCAGTCTCTCCACGGGGAGCCTGATGCAGGACTCCATCCCAGGACCCCGGGATCACAACACCAGCAGGAGGCAGAGGCTCAACCCGTGAGCCACCCAGGCGTCCCTATCAGCGTGTCTTTTGAACACTAAAATTTCCTTCTTGCATTACCCGGAGCCAGGTCGATTCTGTCCTGCTGAACAGTTGGTAAAGCTGAAGCCCCTCTCTTTCCTAGCCCCCACAGCAGCCTATCGGGTCTGCTCATCTATTGTACCTGGCATCTTTGCCAGGCAAGCCCCTACGAATCAGCCACTGCCCTTGGCACCTGCCAAGATGTTTTATTATCTTCCCTCAGCTGTCATTATGAAAAAAAAAATGTGCTTCCTTTGCACCCCAGTCCTCAAAAGACCTCTGTTGAGAAAGGCCAGAGTGCTATATTGAGTCCAGGTAGAGAAAGCCACTAGGCTCTAAGGCCAGAGAGAGCTAGAAGTGGTAAGCACAAATCCTCCAGTTCTGATGGAGTTGGACAGGCTCTAGTTGGAAAAAGGCTTACATAAACACAGTAATTAAAAAAGTCACTGAGCAGTGCTGAGCTGGTAGGCAGGAGCTCCACTTTGCAGTTAAATAGGAATGTGGCTGAAGACTGCTGCCATAATCAATGCCTGCATCCGGCTGTCACAGTATGTTCATAAAGGAAGGTTATGAGAGCTATAAAATCCTGCGGATTGGGTGGTAATTGTCCTGTGGAGCTCTGCTAAAGGAGAAATTGCATTGGCATCTAATATATTTTGCTTTCTTTTCTTCCAAATACACAAAATGGAGGAGAGCTACCCTGAGGATTCATGAAAAGTAAAGATGAGGTTTGTGTGAATATGTGCATGTGTGCTTCCAGAGAAGAGACAGGAAGTAATTGAAGCTAGAGAGATATAGGGCCTTTGGGGAGAGAAGGGCCAATGACCCGGTGACTACTGGATTTACAGATTAGTCAGGTGGGAGGCAGGATTTCTGTGGAAGGAAGGCCAGCCATTACGAGTAAGGCTGAATGCTGGGACATCTTGTCATGTCATTGAAACTGTAGTCATATTTTTTAGGTTATAGGGCATTCAGTGTCCTAAGGAGGAAAACCTAGATAGATAATGATTTCTGGGGATGCCTGGGTGGCTCAGCGGTTGAGCATCTGCCTTCGGCTCAGGGTGTGATCCTGGAGTCCCGGGATGGAGTCCCACATTGGGTTCCCTGCATGGAGCCTGCTTCTCCCTCTGCCTATGTCTCTGTCTCTCTCTTTCTGTGTCTCTCATGAATAAATAAATAAAATCTTAAAAAAAAAAAAAAGATTATGGGCAGCCTGGGTGGCTCAGTGATTTAGCACCCCCTTCAGCCCAGGGTGTGATCCTGGAGACCTGGGATAGAGTCCCACGTCGGACTTCCTGCATGGAACCTGCTTCTCCCTCTGCCTGTTTCTCCCTCTGCCTGTGTCTCTGCCTCTGTGTGTATCTCATGAATAAATAAAATCTTAAAAAAAAAATCTTAAAAAAAAATTATGATTTCTGCATGTCCTAGTTAAAAAATTCTTCTTAGTCAACCTTCTTAACCTCTAACCTTTAAATTCTGAATTCAGGGCAGCCCTGGTGGCGCAGCGGTTTAGCGCTGCCTGCAGCCCAGGGTGTGATCCTGGAGACCCGGGATCAAGTCCCACATCAGTTTCCTTGCATGGAGCCTGCTTCTCCCTCTGCCTGTGTCTCTGCCTCTCTTTCTCTCTGTGTCTCTCATGAATAAATAAATAAAATAGTAAAAAAAATAAAAATAAATTCTGAATTCATTTTGGTGAGTTGATTGATGTGGTGTTTATTTTTTTATTTTATTTTTTTAAAGGTTTTATTCATTTATTCATGAGACACACAGAGAGAGAGAAAGAGAGAGAGAGAGAGAGAGAGAGGCAGGGACACAGGCAGAGGGAGAAGCAGGCCCCATGCAAGGAGCCCAATGTGGAACTCTATCCCAGGACCCCAGGATCACGCCCTGGGCCAAAGGCAGGCGCCAAACCGCTAAGCCACCCAGGGATCCCCTGATGTGGTCTTTAACCTGTAATAGCAACTACTTTTCTACTGTGTTTCTTAATCTTTTTTTTCTTCCACATTTTATTTTTTTAAAAAGATTTTATTTATTTTTTCATGAGAGAGAGAGAGAGAGAGAGAGAGAGAGAGAGAGGCAAAGACACAGGCAGAGGAAGAAGCAGGCTCCATGCAGGGAGCCTGATGTGGGACTCCATCCCGGGTCTCCAGGATCACGTCCTGAGCTGAAGTCGGCACTAAACCGTTGAGCCAGCCGGGCTGCCCTTTTGTTATTATTCCTAACATTTTTTTTCTTTGCAAGAATAAGAAACATTAAATTAAAATGTGGAAGAATGGGCAGCCCGTGTGGCTCTGTGGTTTAGCGTCGACTTCAGCCCAGGATGTGATCCTGGAGACCCGGGATGGAGTCCCACCCACATCGGGCTCCCTACATGGAGCCTGCTTCTTCCTCTGCCTGTGTCTCTGCCTCTCTCTCTCTCTCTCGAATAAATAAATAAATAAAATCCTTTAAAAAAAAGGAATAATAACAAAAAAGAAAAGGGAAAAATTCTAGAAAAAAAAAATGCAGCCAGATAAAAGGCAAAGGATTAGGGTAGGTCCATTAGCTCTGAGTCTGACCTCATAATCAGAAGCCTGGGCCTAAGGGATGCTAGGTCCCCAAACTTCTTGCGTGCCTTTCCCTTTCTCCTCCATCTTTACTCTCTTTGCTTCCCTTCTTGAAGACTTTTGCCCCTGAGATTGATCCTTTTCCTTTCCTCCCTGGACAGGAACCATCAGTAGATAAATGTTCAATCATTTATTCAGTCATTCAGTCAACCAGCATTTACTGAGCATCTACCATTTGCCAGACCCTACAGATAAAGTCAGAGCTGTAGATAAGTCAGAGCCATAGAGAGCTCTGCTTACCTAAAGCTTACAATCTACTGGGGAAAAAAGACAAATAGTATAGGTATCCTTGAGCAGATGTCAGGGGACAGCTAACCTAGCTGGGGTAGTCAGGGAGAGTACAGAGAGGGCAGCATTCCCTCTGGATGATCCTAAGAGCTTAGAGCTGAAAAGGGATCCCTCCTTCATCCCTGTACTCTACTCCTCCTGCTTCTTCTTTGTAATAGCTATGCAGATTTGAGTGAGTGCCTGCAATTGTCCTTGTTATTTCTCAAAAGCATAGTTGAGGGACGCCTGGGTGGCTCAGCAGTTGAGCATCTGCCTCCAGGGCATGATCCTGGAGTTCTGGGATCGAGTGCCCCATTGGGCTCCTTGCATGGAGCCTGCTTCTCCTCTGCCTATGTGTCTACCTTTCTCTGTGTCTCTCATGAATAAATAAATAAAATCTGGGTAGCCCCAGTGGCTCAGCGGTTTAGCACTGCCTTCAGCCCAGGGCATGATCCTGGAGACCCGGGATTGAGTCCCACATCAGGCTCCCTGCATGGAGCCTGCTTCTCCCTCTGCCTGTGTCTCTGCCTCTGTGTGTGTGTGTGTGTGTGTGTGTGTGTGTGTGTGTGATGAATAAATAAATAAAATCTTTAAAAATAAATAAATAAAATATTTTTTAAAAAGTATAATTGGATTGTCAAGGATATAGAGAAATTGTAATCCTCATACACTTCCGGTGGAAACGTAAAGTGGTGCAACTGCTTTGAAAAACAGTCTTTAAATGATTAAACATACGGGCAGCCCAGGTGGCTCAGCCGTTTAACCCTGCCTTCAGCCCAGGGCTTGATCCTGGAGACCTGGGATCAAGTCCCACGTCAGGCTCCCTGCATGGAGCCTGCTTCTCCCTCTTTCTGTGTCTCTGCCTCTCTCTCTCTCTCTGTCTCTCAAGAATAAATAAATAAAATCTTAAAAAAAATGATTAAGCATAGAGTTACTTTATGATTCAGCAATTCCACTCCTAGGTATATACCCAAGAAAATGAACATATATGTCCATACAAAAACTTGTACACAGATTTTCATAGCAGCATTATTCATAATAGCTAAAAGGTTGAAATAACCCAAATGTCCATTAGCTTACAAACAGATAAACAAAATGTAGGATATCCATACAGTGAAATATTATTTGGTCATAAAAAGGAATGAAGTACTAATTCATGTTACAACATGAATGAACCTTGAAAATGTTACATTTAGTTAAAGACGCTGACCATATATTGTTTGATTCCATTCATAGGAAAGTCAAGAATAGGAAAATCTATGGAGACAGAAATTAGATTAAGGGCTGCTTAGATCTGGAGGGAAGGGAGGTGACAGCTCAAGGTTATAGGGTTGTTTGTTTTTTAGATGATGATGAATATT